CGTAGCTGAGGCTCTGGAAACAATTCCTTCGGAAGGCTTCGTGATGCTTCCAGTTTAAGCACTACTTGCATTCATGGAATTGACTGAATGCATAAGCCCATGCGTTGCGAGCTGGGGAGACGTCCAACACAGATGCCTCACCTGCACCTGCATGGAAAACAGAATCAATGCTCCAGGTGACAACAACTGGGGCATGCTGCCTCTGGGCTGGACGAGCATTTCTTTCTGACCTCGCTTCCAGTAACTTGTTATGCGGCTCCTGGCTTCTTGAGATTTCTTGAGCACTGAGTTCCCAACAGCCCAACAGCGGATGAGAAACCTCAACTGTATGGTCTTCGTCAGCAACCAAAATCTCACACCTGCCATCCGCACCTGTCGCCACATGGGGAGGACTCTCCAATGTTAACGTTAAATTCAAAACCGAATTCATTGCCTGTTGTGCCCTCCGCCCACAATGAACCTTCACATTTACTCCACTAAGTGCAAATATTGCATCGCTTCCATGGCATTCCTAATGCCAGGCCTAGAGTGTGGCTGGTCCTCTCAGCCTGCCTGGAGTGATGCATTTTGAAAGCGCGCACAATATACCAGCGGTTGGGCTCAGCTCATGACCTGTCGACGTCACCGCCAGCCACGTAAACGCAAACAGATGCTCCACTCAAACCCCTTAGGCCTTAGTATGTCAATTCGAACAGACATTGGACCAGCAGACTTGCTTTTATCAGGTCAGCTAACATGACCTTGGGCATGGACAGCATTGCGATCGCAATAGTACCTGGGTTTCCGCGAGTGTCCATACGTCGACAGTTGTCCACGCCGGCACCTGTAGCAGGTCACAAGATTTATTAGGTCTGGTTTGGTTCTCTGAGACAAGCGACGCATGTGCTGGAGTCGAGTTTTCAAATCCAATTGTGGGCTTAGGCATGTGAGATTGCAGCGGCAGTTGGCCTCATGTGTTTCATCATACCTGGTCTGAGTCAAGCAGCGTTGGGCATCTTCTGCCAGCTTCAACACTGAGCAAAGGGAGAGCTGTTGAGATTTGTGGAGAGCAGTGCCCATCTGTGTTTAGCAAAAGAAGCTTGCAAATGGCTGTGCATTCTGCGCTTTTGGCCCAATGCTGTACCATGCCATTATCATTTCCAAGCTGTGGAGTTGTTGGTTTCCGATATCGAAACCATTTCAAGACCCCCGATGAAGCTTTCTCTTGACGAGGGTTGGGCAAAAGATTTTGGGCTGAGGGTCGAAATCGTGCAATACGACTGGAGGTGAGGAGAAGGAAGCCGGCTGTACTTTGTTGACTTAATGTGAGCTATAGTCTAAACTCCTAGTATCCCCCTTAATTACCCATATAATAGTCCCCTATATAACCCCCATTGGAAGAGTTTAGAGTCTGGCTCATTTGGGATTTGAGGCCATCCTCGGAGAAAGGCTTCAGGCTCAACTGCCAGCACGGAATTCATGGCTGCGACCACGTGTTGATTTGCTGTGCAATTGTGCCTCAACATCTGGGCCAAGCCTCTTCTGATCACAGAAGACGCCCAGCCTGAACCGGTGGGGCTCGAGGAAATACCTTTCTAAAGTACCCATCCCGAACAGATGCTCATAAGGCAAGAAACTCGCAGGCGGCTCTGCGGAATCTCTTCGCCAACACCTGATGACATTTGCGGCAAAAGCCCTGCCACTACATGAGACAATGCACAACCTGCCTCGCAGAGCTTGCCGGAAGTGCGGCAGTCGATTGCAGCCAAATGCAGACTGGTGATCGATTTACGCATGTGGACATTCACGGCAATGGAAGGAAACAACCTTATCGGCTCACTGGAGGAAGGCCTCTCCATCTTGGAACTCAGCTTTTTCAAAAATTCGCCCATCGTTGCGATCAAGATGCCGCCCCACACACATTGGTCTTTCGAGAAGTCGTTTCCATGCAGCTTGCGATCCCAATAAGCTCTCGCTCTTTTGGCGCCACACGTATCCTGTATCCAGGTCCAAGGAAAGGCCTGAGAGCATTTCCGTGAAGAACACGGTGACATTCCCCACAAAGTGCTTTCTCAAACTGAGGCCCGCAGCAGCACCACCACCATCGCCACCACCACCACCACAGCCACCAGCAGCAGCACCAGCAGCAGCAGCACCACCAGCATCAGCACCAGCAGCAGCACCACCACCAACAGCAGCATCACCAGCAGCGGCATCAGCAGCAGCACCAGCACCAGCACCAGCAGCAGTCGCAGTAGCAATGGCAGTAGCAGCAGCGGCAGCAGTATCAATAGCAGCGGCAGTAGCAGAAGCAGTAGTAGCAGTGGTGGCAGCAGTACAATAGCACTAGTGACATCAGCAGTGGTAGCAGAAGCAGTAGCTGTCGCGACCACAGTAGCAGTAGCAGCTGCTGTGGTAGTTGTTGTAGTAGTAATAGTATTAGTAGTAGTGGTAGTAGTAGTAGTAGTAGTAGTAATAGTAGCACTACTACTACTAGCCGCCCCCCCCCTTTAGGCACTACCTTTTACTTAAATCT